GGGGGGGGGGGCTCTGGACTAAGCTACGACTTTCCCTTAAAAATTCAATGTCTACTCCGGCCTATATGTTCATGTATAACGTCTGTTTATGTTGCTTTGCTGTGGTAGGTTTTTTTGATTCCTCAAATCGTGCACTGTCTAAGTAGCAGCTGCGTGCACTCCGCCCATCTTTCGGACGACTGTACGTACATGTTCTCGTTGTATCTCGGTGCAATGATAATAAAGTTTATTCTGATTCTTATCGTAAAACAGTTTGAACCCTGCTCCAGTGCTGCGAGCCTTGCTGCCCTTCCACTTGGTCTCTTGGACACATAAAACATCTACCTTCCTTCTCAGCATCATGTCAGCCAGCTCTCTACCTTTGCCTGTCATTGTCCCCACATTTAGAGTTGCAACCCTCAGTTCTACATTCTTCACTTTCCTCTTCTCCTCTGTCTCCTGACATGTTTCCCTCCTCATGGTCTTCCACTAACAGTAGCACAGTTTCTGCTGACACCCTGTTTGTCAACAGCACCGGTGGTGGTCGTTGGTAACCCGGGCCTCGACCGATCCGGTGGTTTCACTTTGATGAACTTTCATTATGGTTTTAGCAAAAGTGTTTTATGTCGGATGTCCTTCCCGACACAACCCTCACCCTTGCCCGGGCTTGGAACCAGAACCTGGGATACACTGGTTTATGCTCCCTAATGTTTTTTTTCTTTTCCACCAACGCACACAAAGTAACAAATTTAACTTTCCTCCTCGTCAAATAAAGTTCCTGCAGGATCATGTAACAAACAGCTGACAGACCCGTCTCACATCTTTACTTCCTCTTTCAAAGAATCAACAGGAAACACAAAGAGCCAATCACACGGTGTCTTCTGAGAAGGACAAACTTTAACGCACAAAATGTGTTTAAAATCTGCAAAAGATTCAAACGTCATCAGAAAAACTGACGGTTAGAGAGATGTGCAAGAAAAGGAGACGTAAAAACAAAAGTTTACTTTTTGACTCAGTTTGATCTGACACAAAGAGAGAAACACACAAAGTTACTCAACGTTTGTTCATGTTGGACAGACCTGAACGTACAGAACCTCATCATGAAGGAGGAAACAGACGTGAAAAAGAACGTCCACCCTCTTTCAGTTCTTGAGTTTTCTGTATCAGGAACCCTGATCTGGTCTGAACCAAGTTCTAAAGAAATCCGACTTGAAGTAAACAAAAACACACAACTGGCTCCACCGAGTCGTTTAAACCAAAAATTAAAGCTGGCAGTGAAGACCAGCCTCCAGCCTCGCTGCTGCCACAGGAGCTCAGAGGACCCGGATCAGCAGCTGATGATGATCAGCAGCTGAGCACACAGGTGTCTATAAACACAATTCCAAGGCAGAAAGGCATCAGCAATGACCTCAGAGAAGAAGCTGTTCATGTTCAGCAGTCTAGGAAGGGTCAAAGGTCATGGCCTTCTCTCTAGAAACAAAATGGCAGCATGTCTTAGATTTGGAATGTTTCATTCAAAGGAGCCACCAGTCTTCTGGACCATAACCAGACCAGAGGACAGATGTTTACCCAGAATGCACTGCAACAAGCATGGTGGTGGAGGCTGATGGTTTGAGCTCCTGTCAGTCAGAGAGAGTTTCTTTATTGTCGTAACAAGATTGTGTCCACAGGGTCCCAGTTACATCCAACAAAAGTATAAATTGTAAAAGAAAAACAGTAACAAGATCTGAGACATGAACTAAGAACAACATCAACTAAGAATACACTAAGCACTAATAGTACAAAAACATGAAACACATTACACCGAACAGCAGCACGAACATGAGTCTGTGTGAGCAGATGAGCATGAAAGAACATCGCAGCATGGAACAGATCAGCAGCAACATGAAACAGATCAGCAGCATGACACAGATCAGCAGCAACATGAAACAGACCAGCAGCATGAAACAGATCAGCAGCAACATGAAACAGACCAGCAGCA